CCTGGGGGATGAATTTGATGAACTTAAGTCGTACATGGGCTAGGAATATTCCCTGAAAATTTCAGCTTTCCAGCTTTGCTAATTCCCGAGTTAGCCACTTCCCCGCCGAAAAATCTCACGGGGCCGTACTTGAGAACCGCGCATACCTGGGGGATGAATTTGATGAACTTAAGTCGTACATGGGCTAGGAATATTCCATGAAAATTTCAGCTTCCCATCTTTACTAATTCCCGAGTTGGCCACTTTCCCGTCGAAAAATCTCACGGGGCCGTACGTGGAAATCACGCGCACCTGGAGGCTGAATTTGAAATCTTGATTATATTCGGACGGGGAACATAACCTCAAAATTTCAGCTTCCTATCTTTTCGCGTTCCCGAGTTATCAATTTTCCCGCCAAATCTTTCCCCCTTTCGTACGCGGGGCCTAGGCGTGCGTGAGGGATGGTACCGCGGTTCTGGGGTGGTACTTGGCCGGGGTACCCACTAGCAAAATCTGGGCGCTGGAACTTGCTTGGTTGCCGAGTTGAAATACCCGGACAGAAGAACACACACACAAACATACACACACATACACGCACACATGCACACATACATACACACATAGACGGGGTCGTCTCAATATGCGTTTTTGCAATTTGCATATAGGCAAAAACGCATAATAATGGGTAAGAGGCTGTACTAATGATTCCCATTCATATTCGCACGTGCTTTTGGTCTGCATTTATTGCCAAGGAATGAAAGAAAGACTGCACCTGGGTCTATTCAGCTTAACATGCAATACCTTGGTCCATCGTCTCGGTCTTTTTACTAAACTCACAAAGTAAGGGGCCCTGTTCGAGGATTAAACTCACCAACAGCAAAGTAAGGGCGCGCCTTTAAGAGTTTATAATCATACCCGGGCAGGCTAAGCCATCGTTAAAGCTTTATGCCAGAAACTGCACTTTGAGTGAGTATAGAATGATCAGACAGTGCAAAATGAACGGTTCGCATCTTCCCGTAACTCTATCCTTCGAGTGATCTTAGTGATACTGACTGTTGAGTAAACGAATTTATGAAAACCTGGTTGAGATCCACTTTCTGGCTAAGATATTCCATGCACTGGCTTGCTGTACTTTCGGTAGTCAGAGTGCACTGCAGAATGGCATAATCACCAATGAAGACTGTCAGCACGTAAATATCCTGACTTAAATCATATCGCCCACTTTTTTTGCCCCACTTTAGCTTCAGTGGCATGCCCATCATCCTAAAAAGCTGCTCAAATTTTAAAAAGTCTTTATGTGTTAGAGAATTTTGGTCATTATTTATGAAAAAAGTTAAAAAAAAAATCTGCAACAAAGCCACACCACTTTTTTTCGGTCAGTTTATACATTGATGATTTGGTTCTGGCCAAGTATTATGATGACTTACAGAGCACAGGAAAGAAATTTTTTAAGCCCAAATTTTCGGCTGATAATTTACTTAAAAAGTTTCAGTAGCATACCTTTTTGTTTTAACATTTTGGTTTCACCATTTTGTATATCTCTTTCTTGTAGAATTACAAGAGGTTCTGAATTATTTCATCGTCACTTCAGCTACTTCGGTATCAAGCATGCCCTTTAATCACTCTAAAGTAGCAGTGGTCAAAGAATGAAAGAAGCAGAAAATGGGAAAAATACATTTACGCGCAGTATGTGCCATCCGTCCATTTGTATGGGAGAAATGCATTCACGGACATTCTTTTGTCTCCGATAACGGTAGCAGCAGAGGATACAAAAGAATAGTTTACGAATGAATTCTCAAACGACAGCATTTTACTGAATTTCTGTTTGAATTTGAAAAAGAATTGGAACTCTTAGCTTGTACGATTCCTAAGTTAAATTGTGAGGACAGAGACAATCCATGCTGAAACGCACCAGGCGAGTCGGTGCGATCATGCGTTTTTGCACAAAACTTGAATTAGGTTAACTACAAGAGCGGTTGTTCCTTCACATCTACCTTGTGTACTTAATGTCGAAAATCATCGTAAATTTTGCTTAAAAAGAAATAAACTATTTCCGTTTAGCGGTATTTTTTGAAAATGACCCAACTGTTCAATGAGTAATTTTCCGGCCAGAAACTTAATTGCCCGTACACGAGAATCACGCGTAAATAAAGCCTGAATTTGAAGATTTAAGTCTTATTTGGACGGGGAATATTCTCCAAAGTCTAAGCTTCCCAACTTTTCTGATTCTCGAGTTAGCAGTTTTCCTGCCAAAACCTTCACAGGACCGCACGTAACCTAGGAGCATACTTGGGGGCTGGGTTTGGAATTTTTAAGTTGTATGCATGCTGAGAACATTCCTTTTAAATTTCAGCCTCCCAGCTTTTCTGGTTACCGAGTTAGTCATTTACTCGCCAAAAAGTTTCACGGGGCTGTCATGAGAACCACGTATGACTGGGGATTGAATTTGATAGGTTTATGACGTACCTGTGCTTGGAACATCCCCTGAAAATTTCAGCTTCCCAGCTTTCCTGATTCCCGAGTTAGCTATTTTTCCGCCAAAAAATTTCACGGGGCCATACGTGAGAACCACGGATGACGGGGGGCTGAATTTGATAACTTTAAGACGTATATGGGCTGGAAATATTCCCGTAAAATTTCAGCCTTCCAACTCTCCTGGTTGCCGAGTTAGCAATTTTACCCCCAAAAACTTTCATACGCTCTTACATGGGTACCAAGCATAGCTGGGGGCTGAATTTGAAATCTTTAGCCAGTACTTACACAGGGAATATCCCTACAAAGTTTCAGCCCCTTAGCTCGTGTGGTTCCCAAGATCACTCTCCCGCCAAAAAATTTGCATATTTTTTTAAGGAACCCGTACAGGGCGCCCAGGCGTCCGCGGGGGATGGTATTAAAAAAGGAGGGTCGCGCATAGTACGGGCACACATTCCCAAAGTTTCAGCCTTCTATCTTTTCTCGTTCCCGAGTTATCAATTTTCCCGCCAAAACTTTCCCCCTCTCGTGCGCGGGGCCCAGACGTGCGTGAGGGATGGTACCGCGGTTTTGGGGTGGTACTTGGCCGAGGTACCCAAAGTAAATCGGCGCTGAAACTTGCTTGGTTGCCGAGTTGAAATACCCGGACAGACGAACACACACACACACACAAACATACGCACACATACATACACACACAGACAGGGTCGTTCCAATATGCGTTTTTGCAATTTGCATATAGGCAAAAACGCATAAAAACAGGCGTATTTGTGCCATAGTGCATTTTGACTTGTACATATATCCAATATGCAAAACACTTAAAAAGTAAACTCCCGCTAGTTGCAGTAGAGAAGGCCAGCAGTGTGCACTGAACCCAGACAACTCAACCCGTGTTACTGCTGCCATTCAACACCCTTCTGCTGCTAGTCAAAAAGGACCAGCAGATAAGTATCGTTTTCGGGAGGGGATGGTGCGCGCCATGTGTTTTTTCGTGATTCGTTCTGCAGATATTTTAAGCGCGGGCGAGAAAAGGCCGAGCAGTAAAATTATGTATGTAGTGATACCACTCATTCATCGAATATCTACCTCTCTATGATGTCAATATTTGCCCTCAGCAGTGGTCCTTTCCTCACTGCGTATTAACAGGCCAGCACTAATGGAAACATCGGTGGGCGCATTTGCATGAATACCAAAAATACAAAAACTGGTCAAGCAGTGGTTTTGAGACACCCACTTTAGAGACCTTACTCGGATGCTCAGTGTGTTAGCAGCAGCTGTGTCAAACCTCTCCCAAGCGGCTGCTTAGTTTCTCGTGGGTAACATTCACCAATAAACGACGTTTTTTGCACGAACTGGACAAAGAAAAATATAAGCAGCTGATTATAGTTCATCACAGCAACCAAATAACCCCAACGACGAAGAATATTTTGTGCTATGTGCTGTAAAATTAAGAATATTTTTTATGAAAGAACTGAATCTGACTGGATTTCTAAAACCTGCGGAGATATGTCTTCAGACTAGTGGCCATAAAAACAGCACATATGTTAAACAGCGATGAGCGGACACGCAGGTGAAAATATGATCTGAGCGCAATTTAAAAAAAAAAAAGTGTTTTAACTAAGACTCAGCCTAAAATATAAACAATTTGCGGGAAATAAAAGAGTTATAAATTACGTAAATACTGAAATCCTGAAATAAAAAAAGCTTTTATAGGAAGTCCGGGGAGGAAGTTCAAGGGCTAAAGTAAGTAAGTGTGCTAATTGCCGACATAGGCGAATCCAGGGGTGGGGTGCGAAAAGTCTTTCTCAAGCGGCACAGGCACCAGTGCTGCAAAAGCCCGGGTCTGTTCATAAATAAAACTGAAGTAGTGTTGCAACCTTATTCCCAGTTGTCTCCCCAGGAGCCCGTCCTGGGTCCGCTTATTATTACCGAGCTGGAGGGGTAGTATTCATGCAGAATCTGTCGCTGTTGCAAAAACTCAAAACGAGAGATACCAGCTGCTGACTTCGAAAAGCAAGCCAGCGCGCACCGGCAAATTTCTATTTGATACGCTGTGTAAAATACTCGAGACCAAAGAAGCTGAGAATCAAACGGTTACTGCATGTGCACCACGCTCGAGACTGTAAGCTTGGCAAAGCTGTCCAGCGAGTGTGGGAGCATCCCAGTAACATCGTTAACGTCCGATCCCCGCACCGATTGTTCGGACGATTTCTGTACCACTAGCAAAATACTCTACAAATAGACAAACTGCTTGATAAAACGAGCTGAAAAGCTGAAGCAGCGCATGCAGTGAAACTGCATGTATTGTCAGGAAGCCCAGTCACTGCTGGAACTCATATCGCTTTGACCTATCCTTAAGCACTCCCAGTAGCACGAAGCCCAGTTATTACAATAAATGAGCATGAAAAGCGTTGAGGACTAAACATAAGTGACTGAAATAATTGGGCTAGCTCACCCGAAAAGGGAATCTGGAATAGAAAGCAAAACTAAGCTTACAGATTCTCTGATGCTTTTTTAATTTAAAAGTCCTTGTGATATGGGCAGCAAGCTTTCCATGATTATCACTGAAATGTTCGCGTGAAATGCTGATGTTTTGCAAACTTATTAAACGGCTACAATAGCTAAACCAGGACTCCTAGCTAATACTTCGGAAGTAGTCCGGACGGAAGTGGTCATTTCACTCTTCTCAAATAGCATTCGCTGATTCATTTGATGTACACCGATTGTAAGCAAGGCTAGCACCATGCCCTAATCATTGAACAGCACACTGCCCTTGGTAGCGATCTCTACAAATCTAATTCAGATTGATGCAGCAACTGATGATGATTATTGTGCGAACTTAGAAACACAACGATCCCGGTGCGGTTTTCTTCAAAAAATATGTAAAATTGAAGAGAAGTGTTTGAAGAGTCAAGCGTCCTGTTTAAATTTTCTTCACTTGTGAATCACTTTTGCACTTATGAGTAAAAAATAAAAACGCACGAGCTTCCGTCGATTTCGTTTATCGTTGCCAAATTTGGACTTCAGCACTATGATAAACTTAACATCGAGGAGCTGGTTTCGGCACGCTATGTCACAGCTTTTTCAGAATTTCCTACCTTCTCGCATATATCCTAACTTTACTCTTTCCACTTCTTCCCCGCCCCCTCCCCCCTCTTTCTTCCTTTCTCTCATCTCGGTACCGTTCAGGCAAATTTAATGGACTTTATTCACTTCCATTCGGATATTTTTCGCCTCTAGTTTATCACCCTAAAATTCGAAAACACTCTCTTCCAACGAAATCCAGTGCTCTCTTTTAATGTTACTTTGCGGGGTTCATTTTATTGCTAATTTCTGCCCTTTTGCATACCAGTCACTTTTTTCAAAAGATTTTAAAAAATTCTAGGTGGTCAGCAAAACGTTCGTCTTGCTCTGATGATTTCAGTACCACCTGAGTCAAGTACGAATGAAGGCACCAAGGGGCCTCATTTAGTGACGTAGTTGCAATGAACAGCGTGATGATGATGGAAGTGATGAAGGCAACACTGGTGAAGATGACGGTGATGGTAAACGACTGATAAAAGTGTACGGATGGGGCTGTGAAGTAGCAATACATTGCTTCCTTCAGTACAGGACGTTGACGATAACAACGATGACCAATTGCATTGGAATTTATGCAGGATGGTTTTTTTTGCCTCTCAGTGCCTCTCGACGTACCATAAAAGCCTGCTAGCAGCACCGATGCTGCATTGCTGATGGCTACGGGGGCAAAAATGATGGGAGAAAGACCAATGTACCGTGCTTCTCGGTG